ATTTTGCTTGTTTTCTATAATGATCATTTGTCATAGACAAAATACCCACATATTTCTCATTAATTACATACACACAAAATACATGTAGGCCCGATTATACAATATGGGCCAAAACACAAAATCAATACAACCCAATATACAATTAATCTAATATGGTAGCAAACTACTAATGATGACATTAGGAGAAGAACGATATGATCCCATATGTTATTAAACATTTGCAAAATATCGATAAATGTACCAAAAAAATAATAGTTACATCGTCCAAACTTGATGAACAATATTAGTTATTTTTAAATATTAAAATAAAAGACAAACAATATTCTTTCACTTTAGCCACTTTTATCTAATTATGCACATCGACATTAATTAATGTGGCGAAAGTGCACCATAACTTCGCACTAGAGGAGCCGGTGTCGGCGACGGAGTAGCCCACTGAACAGCTGATGACTCTGATTGATTAACAGAATACCCTTTGGAGCAAGGTACATAAGTCAAAGATTTTTCATCAGGGCAAGAAGGAAGATTCAAGAAGAAATGAGCACACTCGGCCTTCGATCTTTGATTTGGGAGATCCGAAATGCAGTTCATCTTCACATCAAGAACCCCATTTCTTATCAGTTTCCGACACTGTGGCCCTACCTGAGTGAAATAATTATACGACAGAGTGAAGTTCGATAGATTCGGCAGGCTGCACACCGATTCCGGCACATCCCGGTAGAACTTATTGTGAGCCAAGTTCAGAAGCTCCATTTTCTTTAAGCACTGAAACGAGTGTGGGATTGGGCCTGTTAGACTGTTGAATCCGACGTCGAACACCGTCGATTTCTTCAGAAATCCGATCTCGTATGGCAAACATCCGGTTAACTGGTTGTTCAAGAAAAGAACCTCCAGTAGGGTGTCGGCAGCTCGACCAATGCTCCGAGGGATTCCACCAACGAATTTGTTGTTAGCCAGGGTTAGATAAAGCGCCGGCGTGGAGCCAAGGTTTTCAGGGAGTTTTTGCTTGAAATTGTTGTTGTTGATGAAGAGCAAGTCGAGGTCGAGAAGGAAGACCTGTGGAGGAACTACGCCGGAAAAGGTGTTGAACCTGAGGTCGAGGAATAGTAGCTTGTTGGCACGGAGGACTTGGTAGGGGAAGTTGCCGGAGAATTTGTTGTTACTGAGGTCGAGCTCGTATAAGTAGCGGAGTGTGCCGACATCGGCGGGGATGGAGCCGGTGAAGTTATTGGAATTTGCATGGAAAAATGTGAGATCTTTCAAACCGGTTAGGAATTCGGTGAGGGTTAGATTTGGGCCATACAAATTCTTGTTGTTGAAGTTGACGCCGGCGATGCCCTTTAGTTTAACATAGGGTACAGTGTCGCAAATGAATCCTTTGTAATTGCGGCAAATATCCTTGCCTTTCCATGTTTTTGTAATGCCTGTGGGATCGCTTGTCACTTTGCTTTTGAAGGCTTGGATTACTTTATAGTCTCTTTCTAGTAGCTTGCTCTCGAAACCACTTGGTGGTTTCGGTGATGGTGGTGGTGGTGGTGGTGGGCTTGGAGGTGGTGGAGGTGGTAGTTTTGGTGATGGTGGTGGTGGTGGGCATGGTGATGGCGGAGGTGGTGGGCTTGGTGAGGGCGGTGGTGGTGAGGGCGGAGGTGGTGATGGTGGTGGTGGTGAGGGCGGAGGTGGTGATGGTGGTGGCGGTGATGGTTGGCATATAGGAGGGGGAGGGGGAGGGAGTTCACATGAAGGAGGTGGAGGTGGGGGTGGGGGTGGGGGTGGAGGTGGAGGTGGAAGGGGAGAGCATGAAGGAGGAGGGGCCCAATCGTAATATTCCAGCTGTGGCGATGGAGGGGCCTCAGCCTCACCACCATCTATGATGATCTTGACTGGTTTTGTAGGAGTAAATTCGCCATTGATAACAAAAAGATGAGTGATGCAAATTAAGACTAGAAACGTACCACTACTACCCATCTCTCTATGTGGAAGAAAGTGGAATCAAGAAAAATGGAGGACTTCGTTGATTTAAATAGATTAAAAGCATGATCTTCATAGCATTGACACGTCCTATCATATTACTATTTCATAAACCTTTACTTTTATAAAGACAAAAGTGCAAGATTGGTCCTATGATATTCAAAAAACTTTGGATATGGTCCAAAAAGTTTTCCACTTGCATAGAAGGTCCAAAATCAATGTTTTTCTGTGTTTTTGGTCCAAAAAAAATTAAAAGACGGTTATACCCTTTTATTTTCTTTTTTATATTTTTTCTACTTTTTCAAATACTATTTTAATTTGAAAATAAAAAGAAAAGAAAATAATTATCCTCTCTCTCTCTCTCTCCAAGTAAAAGGGATCTGGTCTCAAATACTTTTTTCTTGTTGTGTTCATGCTTTGGTGAAGAAATCAGTTCCACCACCATCATAGAACCTAGGGGTGTTCAATAAACCACACAAACCGTATAAACCGTCCACACCGCACAACACCGCACCGCATAATGCGGTTTTGAACGTCCCCGGTTTGATTTGCGGTTTGTAATTTTTTAAACCGCACTATGTGGTGCGGTTTCGGTTGTTAGTTACACAATCGCAGTTCAACCGCACGCACCGCATTATAGATAATATTATATATATATAATATATAATATATCATGATTTTAGCTTTAATTATACTTAGCAATGTTAGTTTATCAATGTTTTTAACTATAGAAATTAACTGAAATTTACTACTAATAAACAAAGGAGTCAAGTACTTAACAGTACATATGCTTGATTGTGTTTATATTACCTAGTATCAATCGTAAGTTTCTAAAAAACTTCTATTTAATATAATTCAAATGTTATCAATGATATACTATATTGTTAAGCTAAGTTAAAAACTTCTATTTAATATAATTCAAATTTTTCATGATATGGTATTGTTAAGCAAGGGTGATTTTAAGGTTGTAAAAAATAATCTTGCAAAATTCTTAAAGTAAAAGACAAAACAAAAGATAGTTATAGAGAATATTCTACAAGTCTTAAATTAAATTAAGTATTTACGTTCTTAAAACCGCATAAACCGCACAAAAACCGCAAAATCGTCCGCATAAAACCGCACCGCATAATGTGATTTAGAACCTTCGCGGTGCAGTTTGTGGTTTCTGAAAATCTCAAACCGCATATGAGGTGCGGTTTGTGGTTTTGAGTCTAAACCGCACCAAACCGCACCGCGAACACCCCTAATAGAACCCACAACCCAACTGATTACTCAAGAAAAAAAACTTCTATCCTTCAATAGTGTATACATAATCTGAAGCAAATTAGGACAAGGGAAATTTGGTACAACCCATCTATGCATAGAGAAATATACAGGTTCATATTGATTCTCGTTTTTACTTTTCTGAAATCTTTGGCATGAATTGTGTTTTCAAACCGAATCATAAATTACTTGATTGATTTAGGGCGAAGGAACCCTAATTTAGGGATTTCAGATATTTAGTTCATCTTCTTGTTTCATCTATTTTTGCTAGGTTCGAGGGTAGGTGGTGTCACTGGTGTGAGATGATGAAGAGGAAAGCTAGAGTGACGGTACAAGATAGGTAAGGGCAGATCCATGGCCAAAGGAGATGAAGGAGCGATCAGAAACAGATTGGATTTGATCTGTGTATAATTTCTCTAATGATTCTGTCGGTTGTAGACTTGTAGTGTGAAATCTTTGCCATTGGATCAAGTAAAACCGCCTAATTATTATTCATATGATACTCTCTCCACATGGAAGTCAGGCTATTTCGGGGAGAATAGTCAATCCCGTTCTTCGACAACAACCTTTGTAACCAGTTCACCTGAATCGAAGCATCGCTGGATGTGATTGTCATCCTGCCGCCACTTCTCGCCAAGGGCATCGACACTTAAATTCTTCCTCAAGATATACAGGGCATCGGCACTTCGATTCTTCTTCAAACTCTTGGATTGAACCCACTTTGTTACATCTAGGTTTAATCTCTCATTCTTAGAAAAACTATAATCTAATCTCTATGGTAATTGTAATATAATTTTGGTGATTTAACGATTTCGTGTTCCAAAATTGATTTTGAAGAACAAACGGTTTTGTGTTTATTTTCTAGTTTTTTTGGTGTTCCAGATTTCGTAATTATATAAGTGTGTTTCTTTTGTGTGTATTTGTTCTTGGTTCCATGGAGAGAGAGAGAGAGAGAGAGAGAGGAGAGGATAATTATTTTCTTTTCTTTTTATTTTTAAAATTAAAATAGTATTTGAAAAAGTAGAAAAAATATATAAAAGAAAGTAAAAGGGTATAACCGTCTTTTCAGGTTTTTTAGGACCAAAAACACAGGAAAAACCTTGATTTTGGACCTTCTATGCAAGTGAAAAACTTTTTGGATCCTATCCAAAGTTTTTTGAATACCACAGGGACCAATCTTGCAGTTTTGTCTTTATAAAAGCTATTCTCACTATCTATAAAAGTTTAAATGTTAATAATCAGGTTTCACTATTTTAATTGTTTATTTAATCTACAACTTTTATATTAAATTATTAAGAACAAAATGTTTTTATATTCAATATTAAGGTTATTCTTAAGGAAAGTATATTATAAACATGTATTTAATGAATATACTTTCTTATGTAAGTGTTACTCAACTGACTAGAGGACATATAACTACTAATTTTTTGCATACATAATGAGTGAAGCAGTAGAAAACGATGAAATTTTAACACTTTGAAAAGTTCTATCTCAATAGAAACCATATTTGAAGAATGATTAATGTTTTATTAATCATATTACGTGTGAGACCCGTATACTAAACGGGTTGATTAAAAAATTATATATAATATATATATATATATATATATATATATATATATATATATATATATATACTAAACATTTTTTTATTAAATATCAAGGTGTAAACATTAAGTATTTTTTAAAGTAAATTTCAAAATAAATAAATACGAAATGATGAATAAATAAATAATTCAATTTATAGTAATAAAACAAACTATGAAGAAATAATTATATTTTGGCCATATTTGTGGTTTAACCGCATTTTTTTAGTTTTATCAATGAAAAAAAACAAAGTTTGATCATTTTTCCTATATAGACCATTTTGGCCTAAAATTGTAACGACCCAAAAATCAAGGGTAAAAATTTCATTTTTAAATGTAGCGAAAGCATTGATACCATTTATTTCAAACATTTCAAATCATCATTAAGAAAAATATTTATCAGAGTTTATCCCAAAATCATTCATTGCGGAAATCCTAGGTGTGTGCACTGTGATCAATCCGAGCTCTTCTTTTTCAAATCGATGATACATGAAACCATAAACAAAACTGTAAGCACGAAGCTTAGTGAGTTCCCCAGAGCATACCCCACACAATCCACATAACCACATAATCCATATCAGCTATAACAGCTACATAAATCGTAACAATCACATAAGCATGCATATACACATATAAAGATGTCATGGAAACCCTCCAAGGTCTTATTCACATACTCACATAAATCATATCAACTACACAATTCATGCATATAACACATACGGATGCCCTGGAAACCCTCCAGGGTCTTACACCGGGTTCCATGGGAACCCCCACATGGTCTTAGCCCAATGCCATGGGAATCCCCACATGGTCTTAACTAAGGATGCCATGGAAACCCTCCAAGGTCTTAAACCCTAGTGCCTAGGGAACCCCCCGAGGTCTTTACCTAGGATGCCGTGGAAATCCTCCAAGGTCTTACACCTAAGTGCCTCGGGAACCCCCCGAGGTCTTCCATGCAAATATCACAAAGACAACTAGCATACCAAATACCACACAATCAACTAGCATACAACATATAACTAATTGCCATGGGAACCCCCGCATGGTCTTCACATAAATACATAATGTATCGATAACACATTACCAATAATCATCACAACTAAATAAATGGGCCGGCCTTGGTGCCTTAGACCCATTGGTATGGTGAAGAGACTCACCTGGCACTGCTGAAGCCTCACAGATAAAACTCTCATTGCTGGTTGACAGATTCCCGCACTGTCAACATCAAACAATACCCAATTAATAACTAGGTTCCAATGCATAACCACAACTCTATACTTGGGGTAAAAGACTACTTTACCCTAACTTAGCTTACTCAGTCCAAGGCCCAAAAGTCAAACCATGGACCAAAGCCCAACATATGGCCCGATTTTCCAAATTGGGCCCAAACCTCTATATGGCTTATCCTAAGGCCCAACCAATTATTCCAGTCTAAATGATTGGCATTCTGATGGTCCAATAACTAATACTCCTCAAGGCCTAATTATAGCCCACTTATGGCCCAATTTTCCAAATTGGGCCCAAGCCTCTCTAATGGGTCTTATCCTAAGACCCAATAATTCCTTAGTCCATAATATGTTCCCAATTGGCCCACAAAGGCCCACAGCAGCTTAGTCCAATACGTGGCCCAATAAGTATCTAAACCCAATTAGGGTTTTTCACATAAAATGTCGATTAGGGTTAAGTGTTCCTACTTAACCCATTAAGGACTTAATCCATTAAGTCCAATATTGTCTTAGGTTTATTTGCCAATGATTGATAATTAATATTTTAAGTTTAATAATTAATTCCAATGTGGGTCCCCGTCAATTCCCAAAATTAGGGTTTCAAGACATTAGGGTTTTCCAAACCCTAATTAGGGTTTCCAACCCATTACAATCCGACTAGGCCCAAAAGCTAAGTCCTTAGGCACATTAGGACTTCGTTGGGCCCACTACTCCATTAGGCCCACTAGGGTTTCATTAATCGGGCACTCCCACTTGATGGGTTTTGAGCATTCTAACACTCCTAAGTGTACATGCAACCCTAAATACCTTGGATCTATGTTTTCTCTATTATACATGCAAATATGAACTTTCCAAGGTATTCATCCTAACTAGCATAATAACACTGATTCAAATGAATATCTCAAGTTAGAATTACATACCT